CAAGTTGGCCATGCCCTCCCAGTTACATGACTGGCAAGCCACTCCCACTCAGTCACATGACTGGCAAGCCACTCCCACCTGGTCACATAGCCAGCAAGCCATTCCCACAAAGCAGGCCACACCTACAGAAGAGGTTCTAAAAATTTTTGAAACCCACCACTGCTTTGTAGTTACAGGTGGCACAAAGGGCCAAGGAGCCCTTTGTGCCAGCTGTAGGTGACAGCATTAGGAAACTTAAAAATAGACTCAGCTAGACAATTTTATATATTGTATAGCTTCTGCAAGGACAAAATTACTCTATGACTGTTATACCACAATTTATTCTGTAATGAATATTAAAAAAAAACATGCTTTATCTTTGCAGCAAACATTGGCCATATAAATAAAGAGAGAGGAATTATTTAGCTGCAGTGAAAGTTACCTACGTGCATGCTATTCATTTCATGCATAGCATGAAATGAATAGCTAGCTTATTTTTAATATTCTTAAGACAGCTGTACTTTTATACTTTATGCAAGAAGGAACAATACATTTGAAGGTGAAAAATCATGGGCTTAATTAGGCATGCCTGCTCTGTTAGGCACAATTATTAGACATTATTCTTCCATGATTTATTTTCCAGGAAGAAACCAGGCTGGCTTAATTTAAAGTCTACAAAGCTGTTTTTCTCTGGAACAGAAATCCATTCAGAAGGCACACAATCTAAGACCATTTACATGTAATTCTAATCTATATCTAACATTATCCACAAGGAAAGCTCAGCCATGTACAGCACATCAAATAACACATCAAACTGCTTCTGGTATGGTTAGCTGGTCATTCATCTCTCTCTGGTTGATGCCCAGCTATCTTTGTGTTAGGTGGCCGGTTTACACATTTATTTAATTTATATGTCGCATATCTCATTGTCAAATGACATCCTGCATTCTGATTTTTTTAAAAAAAGAAAGAAAGGAAATTGGCACATGGTTTTTAAGGGTTGAATGCAGCCAAGCTTTAGGGAAGGCTGTTTGATTTTTAAAAAATACCCTCACCCCACTCTGCAAATCCAAGCATACCTACAAATACCATTGTTTGTTCTTTTCTTTTTTACATCCATCCTGCCAAAATCCGGAATGCATATGGGATAAGATTCTCCATCTTCGCTCAACCTTAGCACAATTCCTGATCAAGCAATCTAATCACAGCATGCTTCCCACCTCATCCATAATGTGAAAATTGTTCAGGGAGCCTTTTCTCATCAAGCTGAAATGAATTGGCCTTTAGTTCCCAGGATATTCAGCCAGCACGACACATTTGGAGAGCACCAGGTTATGGCAGGCTGCTATTTTCTCTATGAATTAAGTTTATCTGCTCTCTCTCTTCCATTCCTTTTCCTAGCATCATTGTTATTTCTCAAGTCTGTCACTAAGGAGCCAATAGATCTCTGAAGGGATTGAAATACAGATAGTCCTCGACTGACAAACACAACTGAACTCAAAATTTCTGTTTCTAAGCGAGACATTTGTTAAGTGAATTTTGCCCTATTTTATTACCTTTCTTGCCACAGTTGTTAAGTGAATCTGGCTTCCCCATTGGCATTGCTTGTACAAATTTCACAAAAGGTGATCCATATGATCCCGGGACCCTGAAACCATCATAATAAATATGAGAGTTGCCAAGCACCTGAATTTTGATCATGTAACCATGGGGATGCTGCAAAGGTTATAAATGTGAAAAGGGCCATAAGTATTTTTCCCCCAGTGCCATTGTAACTTTGGTCACTAAACAGTTGTAAATTGAGGACTTCATGTAGATATCCTGTCCTATGAAAGGAAGTAGAGTGAAAACTTGATGATTTTCATCTCTTTCTTCCAAATCAAACGCAAGGCTTCCATAATTTCAGGCATAATTCCTGGATCCTCCTAGCTCATATTGCAACTTGTATAACATTGTTGATTTCAGAACTAGGGTTTTGAAACAACCTCTTCACTGAAGGCAGTTTAGCTGGACAGTTTTCTAGTTTAAATATCTGCAAAAAAAATCTCACTCTGGCATTTTATTAATATTGATCTATGTAATAGCTAGGGTGGGATGGCTCAGTGGTTAAAGACACTGAGCTTGTCAGCTAAAAAAGATGACAGTCCAAGTTTGAGACTCGAGTGCCATGTAACAGGGTGGTTCTTGTTCTTGCCGAAGTCCTGGCCACCTAGCAGTTCGAAAGCATGCAAATGCGAGTAGATTCATAGGTACCACTTTGGTGGGAAGGTAACAGCATTCCATGAGCCTTTTGCATACAGCCATGCTGGCCACATGACCACAGAAAATGCCTTTGGACAATGCTGGCTTCCTTGGCCAAGAAACAGAAATAAGCACTACACCCTAGACTGGATACTACCTTTTTACTGTAACAGATATTTATCCACTTTCAAATTATTTTGCAGAAAAATTGCTTATTGCCCAAAAGAAACCATATCAATATGATTAACATCTTGGCCAATCTCCTGTAATAAAAAATTAGATTATAATTGGTAGACATGCCAGGGAACAAAAATATACAATTTACTTACATAATTCTTTGCATCGTCTCCTTCAACAGAGAACTGCTACAGACATTTCTTCAGTTATCCTGTTTATCTCAGGGGCTGCCACAAGAAGAGGGAGTCAAGCTATTCTCCAAAGCACCTGAAGACAGGACAAGAAGCACTGGATTAATAAATAATTGCATAGTATCTATATCAATTTGTTATTAGTCCCCACTATTGTCCAGTGTTGCTAGTTCTCTATAAAAACCCTTTCTTCACATCTTTCACAAAACATGATTGTATCAACTCTAACTCCACTCCTTGGTCTTTTAGTTCTAATCTGGTTTTCAAGTTACCCTTCTCATTTAACATATCCTTATAAGAAACATTTTTTCCATATTTTTCCAGAATTTTTGATGTTAAGAAAATATGAAGCTGAGTGGTGTACTGAATTTTTAACTTTAAAAAAAACACTACTTTTATGTACTCAGAGCACTTACAGACCAGACTATGCCACAAAATAAATTAATGGGAAAAAGATGGGTAAGAATTTCTAAAAAATATTGAGTATTGAAAGTACAATCGCAAACAATTCCAATGAGGAAAAATGGATGCCCATAAAAAAAGTGCAATGTGGTTGTCCCAAAAGAATTATGGAAAACAGGAAATCAAATGACTTGAAGTAGAAAGAGGGACAGATCACAAAAGGAGGGCACATATAGAAATTTGGGTTTGTGGAGATGATGCCTGGAAAGCACATGCTCAGAACAAATCCAAGTTAACAAGTTAACAAAAAGGCTTTGTAAATACTGTATGTATTTTTTAAAAAATATTGTATGTATTTAAAAATAAATGAAGGATGAGAAGTGAAACCATGTCAGCTGTTCACTGAAGATAGCAAATGGGTATCAGATCACAAAGAAAAAGCAGAACTGTTGTTTGCAGTCTTTTATGAACTGTGTTCAGGCAATTTAATTGGTTATTAATAGTTCATAGAGCAGAATTCCAACTTAACAAGAACACAGTTCAGATCTCCAGGACCAGATGGACCTGCATGCTAACTGTCTAGCTCTTCACAGCCAGAAGCAAGTATTACACAACATTCCCTAAAGTTAACCTGGGATCAGCAGTAAAATACTGCAATCTGCAAGAACTTTCAGCCTTCATTATTAGTAAGTTTCTTAAGACGGAACCTTAATGATTTGAAACGAGCTTTTGGCAGTCTGGCCTAAGCTGCTATTTATAGGGTAACTATTAGCAAACTTTTTTATTTCTTTTGCATCTAACACTCCCATTATCTTTCCAGCCTCTTTACAAGTTCCTATATACTGAAAAAATCTACCATTACCATCTACTATTACTATCCAGAAATCCTGGAAAACAGGTGAAGTGATAGATGCACCACTAGCAAAGAGGGCAAGCAGTGTTATTTTCCAGCAAGGGGGGGGGGGAGGCTTCCGTTGTGTTTGACTGCAAAAAAAAAAGATAAACCGAGTAAATCTGGCTCAGTTAATGATGACTAGGGACATCTTAAAGGAAATCCACCCTAATTATCCTTTGGAGGGAGAGCTGAAGAGCTGAAGCTCAAATATTTTGACCACCAAATGAGAAGAGAGGATTCACTGGAAAACACCCTGATGTCGGGGAAAAATTGAAGGCGGAATGAGAAGGGGAAGGCAGAGGGCGAGGTGGTTAGATAAGTGTCACCGATGCAACGAATATGGGTTTGGGCAAACTCCAGGAAACAGTGGAGGGCAGGTGGGGAGCTGGCGTGCTGCGGTCCACGGGAGAGCCATTAGCGTCTGAACAACAACAACAAAGGGCATCAGCCTGTTTCTGAGAACAGCCAAGGCCAAAACTATCGGCAGCCCGTCCTACTCCAACCCGATCTCGCGCCAGCAATCCTCGCGCGCTCAGGCGGGACGCAGCACGAGCCACAGACCGAAGGACCCGCCCCGCCCTCGTTCGCACCTGCCTAGCAGACAGCGAGAGAGAAAAAAAAGAGCGGGCGGAAGTGAGGCCGTGCGCATGCGCTCTAAAGAGGCACATTGGCGGGGGAAAGTTCTTTTCGTGTGTGACTCCCAGGAGCGGGTTTGTAGGTAAAGGGCCTTTTACGTGGCTTCGAGAGTTTCGCTTCCCCGTCCCGCTCTGATACCGGGTGGTGTTTTCCAAAGGGCAGGGCCGCCATTTATTAATGTCCTGGGCTCTCTTGAGATTTATTTAGTTTTTTATTTTCTCCCGCCGAGCACCAACCGCGTTAAGAGGATAAAGCTTTTTTATTTTATTTTATTTTTTGGTGAAGTTAAGGCATACGTGTCGGTTTCGGGGCTGTAAAATAAGTAGGCTGTAAAATAGCACAGGGTGTATTTCTGTAGAAGGTGGTAAAGGTTAGGGTTACAACATATTTATTTGGACTCTTAGGGTTGTATAAGGCTGAAAAACATCGGCGCTAAAACATTTAAAGATTACAGTGGCAGGAAGACGTCTTACCTTCAGTCTCTCTTCCGAAGCTCTAATAAAAGGCCTTATGGCTAATATAGATTAGCCAGCAATGCTAGAACCTTCTACCAATTATACTGGCTAATCTGGTTTCTCAATACAATTTGCAAGATGGGTACTTGGTTATCCACTGTAGTCACCTAACCCAGTGTTTTTCAACCTTTTTGTGCAAAGGCACACTTTTTTCATGAAAAAAATCACGAGGCACACCACCATTAGAAAATGTTAAAAAAAATTAACTCTATGCCTATATTGACTATATATAAAGTAATTTTCCCACGGCACACCTTACACTATCTCACGGCACACTAGTGTGCCGCGGCACAGTGGTTGAAAAACACTGACCTAACCAATACTTCTTCCTCCCCACTTCCCCACAAATCTGCGAAGTGGGATGAGCTGAAAGTGAGCGAATGGCCCAGAGGCACCCAGCTGTTTTTTTCAATACCCATCTTAAAAGCTGTAAAAATAAATCTGCAGAAAAGATAACCTGTCCAATTGGAGATTTTGAGCATTGGAGGGAATTTCATCATACATTTTATTCTAACAGTTTCCCCTTTGATACTCTGCTGGTGGATGTTGACCCAAAAATCAAATCCAAGAAAAGAGAAGCAGTTGCAGGAAGTGGACATGGAAGAGGAAGATGGATCCATGATTATAGTTTATTTATACTGCTATTTAAAAAGCCCCAGACA